CTCTTTTGTCCCCTTTTCCTTTATATAAAGGGACTATACATGCTCTCTGCCAATCCCTAGGTACCTTCCCCTCTTTCATACATTTATTAAACAAAAGTACCAACCACTCCAACACTATATGCCCCCCTGCTTTTAACATTTCTGTCATGATGCCATCAGTTCCAGCTGCTTTACCCCCTTTCACTTTACGTAAAACCTCACGTACCTCCCCCACACTTACATTCTGCTCTTCTTCACTCCTAAAAGATGGTATACCTCCCTGACCAATGCATGAAATTATTGCCTCTGTTTCTTCCTTAACATTTAAAAGTTCCTCAAAATATTCTCGCCATCTACCTAATACCTCCATCTCCCCATCTACTAACTCCCCTACTCTGTTTTTAACTGACAAATCCATACTTTCCCTAGGCTTTCTTAACTTGTTTAACTCACTCCAAAATTTTTTCTTATTTTCATTAAAATTTCTTGACAGTGCCTCTCCCACTCTATCATCTGCTCTCCTTTTGCACTCTCTCACCACTCTCTTTGTGGTATTAAAAAAAAGTACATGTATAAAAAAAAAGGGTAATCAGAAGAAAGCAGGATTCTTTGCAAGCAGATATCCATGGAATATGTGGATATAAACTAGGTCCCGTGGCTTCATTGGCAATGCACTCAGCTCATAGTGAGTGTCTGTGGCTGGATCCCTGGCAAGGGTGGAAATGCAGGGCATGTTTCCTTACACCTGCTGCCTCTGTTCACCTAGCAGTAAGCAGATACCTGGCTGTTAGTCTAATGTTGTGGGTCACCTCCTGGGATGGTGGTAGTATACCTTAGATATAGCTAGCTTTTGACATGAGCTAAAATAAGATAACAGCTCTTGTAAACTGTAAAACTGATGAGAAAAACTATCCCCAATCTGCTCGAAATGCCTAGCAATGCTAGGTGTCCTAGTGGCCCCCTCTGTAATTAGTATTTTATAACATGTAAACCACACAATACCCAAAACCTGTAAATCCCACATTGTAACCATTATAGAGAATAAACTTGAATTGAATTGAATCAACATTAAATTGTCTTACAGTGACAATTCTTGTGGAAAGAAGACCTGCCCAATATCCACTTTCTGCCAAACTTTGTACAGCTTGAAATCGAGAATGAAAAACAAACAAATGGCAGAGGTAAATTGGAAGTAGGTTGGTAGACAGCAACCACCCAGGGAGGTACACCGTCCTGCCAAGCGAATGTAAAACAAAAGCCTGTAACTGTTTTACATGATGGTAGGATTGCTGGTGTCTTTTGTCTATCTCATAAATATGCAAGATTACAGGTATGTCTTGCTACTTCTACTGACACTTAGGTCACACTACACATACATGTACACGTTTATTTATACACACTCATCTGAGTTTTCTTTGATTTTATCTTAATAGTTCTTGGTCTTATTACTCTTCCTTTTATATCCATGGGGAAGTGGATAAGAATCTTTCCTCCGTAAGCCATGCGTGTTGTAAAAGTTAACTAAAATGCCGGAACAATGGGCTAGTAACCCCATTTCCTCTAAAGATTACTAAAAAGATTAAGAAGAAGAAAATTGTCAAAATGGGAAGTCTGAATCTGCGTGGATGTTGTGCAAATGATAAGAAAGAGATGATTGTGGATGTTATGAATGAGAAGAAGCTGGATATCCTGGCTTTAAGTGAAACAAAGCTGAAGGGGGTGGGAGAGTTTCAGTGGAGAGGAATAAATGGGATTAGGTCAGGGGTTTCTAACAGAGTTAGAGCTAAAGGAGTAGCAATAATGTTGAAGGATAAGATATGGCAGGAAAAGAGGGACTATAAATGTATTAATTCAAGGATTATGTGGAGTAAAATAAAGGTTGGATGTGAAAAGTGGGTTATAGTAAGTGTATATGCAACTGGAGAAGAGAGAAGTGTAGAGGAGAGAGAGAGATTTTGGGAAATGTTGAGTGAATGCGTGGGGAGTTTTGAACCAAGTGTGAGAGTACTTGTGGCTGGGGATTTCAATGCTAAAGTGGGTAAAAATGATGTGGAGGGAGTAGTAGGTAAATTTGGGGTGCCAGGGGTAAATGTAAATGGGGAGCCTTTAATTGAGCTATGTGTAGAAAGAGATTTGGTAATAAGTAATACATATTCTATGAAAAAGAGGATAAATAAATATACAAGGTATGATGTAGCACGTAATGAAAGTAGTTTGTTAGATTATGTATTGGTGGATAAAAGGTTAATGGGTAGGCTCCAGGATGCACATGTTTATAGAGGGGCAACTGATATATCGGATCATTATTTAGTTGTAGCTACAGTTAGAGTAAGACGTAGGTGGGACAAGAGGAAGTTGGCAACAACAAGTAGGAGGGAAGTGAAAGTGTATAAACTAAGGGAGGAGGAAGTTCGGGTGAGATATAAGCGACTATTGGCAGAAAGGTGGGCTAGTGCAAAGATGAGTAGTGGGGGGGGGGGGGTTGAAGAGGGTTGGATGAGTTTTAAAAATGCAGTATTAGAATGTGGGGCAGAAGTTTGTGGTTATAGGAGAGTGGGGGCAGGAGGAAAGAGGAGTGATTGGTGGAATGATGAAGTAAAGGGTGTGATAAAAGAGAAAAAGTTAGCTTATGAGAGGTTTTTACAAAGCAGAAGTGTTATAAGAAGAGCAGAGTATATGGAGAGTAAAAGAAAGGTGAAGAGAGTGGTGAGAGAGTGCAAAAGGAGAGCAGATGATAGAGTGGGAGAGACACTGTCAAGAAATTTTAATGAAAATAAGAAAATATTTTGGAGTTAAACAAGTTAAGAAAGCCTAGGGAACGTATGGATTTGTCAGTTAAAAACAGAGTAGGGGAGTTAGTAGATGGGGAGAGGGAGGTATTAGGTAGATGGCAAGAATATTTTGAGGAACTTTTAAATGTTGAGGAAGAAAGGGAGGCGGTAATTTCATGCACTGGCCAGGGAGGTATACCATCTTTTAGGAGTGAAGAAGAGCAGAATGTAAGTGTGGGGGAGGTACGTGAGGCATTACGTAGAATGAAAGGGGGTAAAGCAGCTGGAACTGATGGGATCATGACAGAAATATTAAAAGCAGGGGGGATATAGTGTTGGAGTGGTTGGTACTTTTGTTTAATAAATGTATGAAAGAGGGGAAGGTACCTAGGGATTGGCAGAGAGCATGTATAGTCCCTTTATATAAAGGGAAGGGGGACAAAAGAGATTGTAAAAATTATAGAGGAATAAGTTTATTGAGTATATATAATAACCAGGAAAAGTGTATGGTAGGGTTATTATTGAAAGAATTAGAGGTAAGACAGAATGTAGGATTGCGGAAGAGCAAGGAGGTTTCAGAGTGGGTAGGGGATGTGTAGATCAAGTGTTTACATTGAAGCATATATGTGAACAGTATTTAGATAAAGGTAGGGAAGTTTCTATTGCATTTATGGATTTAGAAAAGGCATATGATAGAGTGGATAGGGGAGCAATGTGGCATATGTTGCAAGTATATGGAATAGGTGGTAAGTTACTAAATGCTGTAAAGAGTTTTTATGAGGATAGTGAGGCTCAGGTTAGGGTGTGTAGAAGAGAGGGAGACTACTTCCTGGTAAAAGTAGGTCTTAGACAGGGATGTGTAATGTCACCATGGTTGTTTAATATATTTATAGATGGGGTTGTAAAAGAAGTAAATGCTAGGGTGTTTGGGAGAGGGGTGGGATTAAATTATGGGGAATCAAATACAAAATGGGAATTAACACAGTTACTTTTTGCTGATGATACTGTGCTTATGGGAGATTCTAAAGAAAAATTGCAAAGGTTAGTGGATGAGTTTGGGAGTGTGTGTAAGGTGGAAAGTTGAAAGTGAACATAGAAAAGAGTAAGGTGATGAGGGTATCAAATGATTTAGATAAAGAAAAATTGGGTATCAAATTGGGGGAGGAGGAGTATGGAAGAAGTGAATGTTTTCAGATACTTGGGAGTTGATGTGTCGGCGGATGGATTTATGAAGGATGAGGTTAATCATAGAATTGATGAAGGAAAAAAGGTGAGTGGTGCATTGAGGTATATATGGAGTCAAAAAACGTTATCTATGGAGGCAAAGAAGGCAATGTATGAAAGTATAGTAGTACCAACACTCTTATATGGGTGTGAAGCTTGGGTTGTGAATGCAGCAGCGAGGAGGTAGTTGGAGGCAGTGGAGATGTCCTGTCTAAGGGCAATGTGTGGTGTAAATATTATGCAGAAAATTCAGAGTGTGAAAATTAGGAGGTGTGGAGTTAATAAAAGTATTAGTCAGAGGGCTGAAGAGGGGTTGTTGAGGTGGTTTGGTCATTTCGAGAGAAGGGATCAAAGTAGAATGACATGGAGAGTGTATAAATCTGTAGGAGAAGGAAGGCGGGTTAGGGGTCGTCCTCGATAAGGTTGGAAGGAAGGGGTAAGGGAGGTTTTGTCGGCTAGGGGCTTGGACTTCCAGCAGGCGTGCATGAGCGTGTTCGATAGGAGTGAATGGAGACGAATGGTATTTGGGACCTGACGATCTGTTGGAGTGTGAGCAGGGTAATATTTAGTGAAGGGATTCAGGGAAACCGGTTATTTTTATATAGCCGGACTTGAGTCCTGGAAATGGGAAGTACAATGTCTGCACTCTAAAGGAGGGGTTTTGGGATATTAGCAGTTTAGAGGGATATGTTGTGTATCTTTATACATATATGCTTGTAAACTGTCTGAGCACTTCTGCAAAAACAGTGATTATGTGTGAGTGAGGTGAAAGTGTTGAATGATGATGAAAGTATTTTCTTTTTGGGGATTTTCTTTCTTTTTGGGTCACCCTGCCTCGGTGGGAGACGGCCAACTTGTTAAAAAAAAAAAAAAATTGTAAACTGAACCAAAGCAATCCTTTCCAGTTTAATACCTCATCACATGAAAATATAAGACAGGTTTATAACAGTAATATTTGCAAATCATTTTTCTTTTCAAATATAAAATTATTAATGCAATTTATTTAACTAAAAACTTGACACAAACCTGTCTATAATCCAGTAAGACGGAGAGTGACATGGTGGTACAGTCAAATTTACCGGATTTAGCCGTGCGCGACGGATGGACAACAATCATTGGCTGGTCAGGAAGAGTATACCGCTTCTCAAGCAAGTTTCTCTCTCGCTCCTCTGCTTTCTTTTTCTATTTGGGTAAGAGAGATAAAAGAAACTGGGTTATACACTGCATTAAATCTATTATATGTTTGAAATTTACCTAACACTTCTCCTAAATAAAGAATACAGTGGAGGCGTATATCCACACAAGTTGGTCTTTTGACAATCCCATTGAACTGACATATTATAAAAACTTTCTTTGCCCCTGTGGCGGCCTGCTGCCAAACTAGGGGTTGGATTGCTAACCTGCCGGCCTGCAGTACCACTGAGTACGTCACCAAACCCAATGTGGGGACTGCTAAGCCGGCCTTTGAGACAGTACTTAGTAGACCACCTTACGGTATACATCTACTGGCAGTAGATGGTATTCACCTGACCACCTTACGGTGTATATCTATTGGTCTTAGAGGCAGTACTTACCAGACTATCTTACGGTACACATCTACTGGCAGTAGACAGTTTTACCTGACCACCTTACAGTATATCTACTGGCCTTAGAAGCAGTATTCATCAGACCACCTTACAGTGTATATCTATTGGTCTTAGAAACAGTATTTACCAGATCGCCTTACGGTATACAGAGGAGACACTTCAAACTCTCCTTGGTAGTATTTCGTCTTTCAAGAAGAGTTCAACTTTACTCAGTAAATGTTGAAGCTACAAGTCATGGATGACGCTATTGTATAGTGTGACACTGAGAGAAGATAGGGTCAGTGTGTGACACTGAAGAAGAATGGGATCGTAGTGTGACACAAGAGGAAGATAGACAGTGTGTGGCACTGAAGTAAGAAAAGGGCGTAGTGTAACACTGAGAGACGAAAGTGTCGTGTGACACTGAAGGAAGATAGGGTAGTAGTGTGACACTGACGAATAGTGTCATCTGACAGATTGCTGGCCTCTGAGGAGAAAGACGCTATGGGGGTGATACTGAGATGAAGGAACATTGTACCCTGTGTGGTAGGGTGAACTGTCGTGTAACCCAGCGTATGATTCATATATACATATGTATTAAGAGGTTACTCATAATTTATTATTTTATCATGTACCGTGACACAGTAGTGTCAGAAAGTTGTACCCTGTGTGTGGTAGGGTCATGAATTAAATTTATTATTTTAGGATTTATATTTGTACAAAGGTAATTATAATTTATTATTGTGACATACATATACACCTACCATCCGACTTACGACCTGCTCGACTTACGACCACTCGACTTACGACCGTGTTTTTTGTGTCAAATTTCTGGGAAATAAACAACTATTTGTGTTGTACACAGTGTTTATCCTAAACCTTACAGAATAAAATACAGTACTAACAACATAAAAAGTAAAGTAAAACATGAAATACCAAAATAAAACAATAAAATAAAGTCATTACAAAAATGTTTTGTTTATTTTCAGTAGTAAAGTTCGACTTACGACCATTTCGACTTACGACCGGTTTCTCGGAACCGAACTCGGTCATAAGTCGGATGGTAGGTGTATATATACCTCTAGACCAAAGATTGTTTTTATATGCTATAAACACCCCCACCCACGATACTCCACCCCACCCACGATACCACCACCCACCCTCTCTCTCCTGTGAACTTAATTGCAAACCTACAAGCTTCCTCTGGGATGACTTCACATCGCAAAATAGCAAGAATATCTATGCTATCTGGCTATTGTCCCAGTAGTTACTGCAGTGTTTGTGGGTATACCACAAGGGACAAAATTTTTCTTAGATGTAAGGAACCTACTTGTTCCAACTAATGCCACACAGATTGCATTCCAGAAGAAGAATTTTGTTGCAGCCAGGTTGAAAATTTCAGAAAATTGAAGGATATCCATAATCCTGTGGCATATGTGGATACAAGCCTGGAGCTACAGGAGGAAGGTTCAGAAGTCCTACCTCAGGGACTTCTGTCCAAAGATCAAGACTGCCCTCTTGGGCTGTGTTGTAAACTTGCAGCTAAGATAATCCATCACAGGGAAGCACTTCATGAGCTCCTCAAATCATTAGATAACCTTCAAGCTATTGTAGAAGGCCAGTGCAAGCCTACATCAAGTGACGTAAGCTGCTCAGCTGATGGTGACACTATTGACAAAGACTAGAAGTCCCACACTGAGCTTAACTCAGGGGTAAATAACTGGTGGAATTCTGTCATCGCCAAGGTCCCACAGATTGACAGAGTTCAAAACACTACCTTTGGGAATTCTAACACAATTCCTCTGACCACCACAGAGGGAACAAATCCTCTTCCCAGCAATGAAGGAAACCTTGGATCTGTTAATTCTCCTACACCTGACATCTCTGCTTCAGCCACTGCCAGTCCACTTAACAGTGCACATACCATCTCTGATCCTACACCTGTCAGCACACCTGCCAACACTATTCCAGAATCTGGAAGCAGTGCTTCATCAGCAAGTTCTGAGTCAGGAGTTTCTCCACCAGAGATTGGTGCAGTTAATAATCAGGGAACTATTACTTCACCTGATCACCTACTGCGCCAAAGTACGAACAGCAGGGACACATCTGTCAGAACTGGTAGAGGACGGAACAGAGGACGTGGAGGAGGAAAACATCTACAGTTTTCTCACCCTCCACTAACACAGTTCCAGCAGCAGAACCTGAGGACAAATCTGCAAAACACTGGAGGTGCAACAAATCATAGTCCACCCTCCCAGGCACCTAGGCTGTGCTCTCACTGTCACCGGAAGGGGCACACAGCCAGCAACTGCCGGCGAGATACCAGGTGTAATTACTGCTACAAGAAAGGACATCAGGAGGACCAGTGTCGGAAGAAAAAGGAACTTGACAGACAGGACAACCTGTTTAGAGACCTGTTCTCAGAACAAACCAGCAGGATCTCTGAATTGGTAAACACTCTCACACGGCACCCACTCAGCTACTCTTATCCCAGCCCAGCAGGTGGTATTGTGCCTTATATAAGACCACAGACCTACATCCCTGCAGCTGCCTCAGTACCCTACCTCTCTCAAGGTCAGGCACCTTACATGCCCTACACACCCACCACCTCAAGCTGACCACATCATCATGAGGAGCCAGTCTATCAGCATCCTGTCGGCCAACATTAGAGGTTTCATTACTAATGTTGGAGAGCTCTCACACAGTTTTGTGAACACTCGACGTCCCGACATGATATCGAATCGAATCGAGGATGATGAGATCTGTCGTAAGATGGGAAGAAAGAAGGATATGGAAGGATGGAAATAACTGGAAAAGGATGGGGAGGAGGCGAAGAGGAGGAATCAAGGCAAGTGGCCCAACCACTTTGGGACATGTGGTACAAAAGTACTGGAGACGTCGATAGAGAGGCTTGACTGATGTCATTGCTTGGTGCTCACTAGGAGAGGATGTCAAAGGCAGCGGTAGGAGCTGGGAGTGTCAGAAGGCAGCAAGCAGGATGAGTTGGTTATGGTCTTAAACCGTTTATCAGCACGGTAAATTGTTTTCGGGAGAGTTGTATCACACTTATGGGAGACCTGTAGTAGTATTCGTTGGTTTGGAGTTGGTGGAGTATCTGGTTGTAGGTAGAGAATGGTCTTTCTTCGCTTTGGTACGATACAGTGTTGTCTTGGAGATGTTGGATGAGTTTTAGGCGAGTCATGCTTGCAGGGTACAGCCTCGTGGTGTAGAATATGAGTCCTTTGTGTTTAACCCATGGTGTTCCAGGTAATCGACGTGAGCTAAGTAGAGAAGGCGGTGGTGGAGTAGAGGAAGGTGGTGTTGCTTCGTTTTCAACTTCAGTAGACGAATTAGAAGATGTTTCTGGTGGTAAGGCTTCTGATTGGTTGGATTCAGTGAGAGGTGGTGGCGGTGGAGGCTTCTCATTGGTCGTTGTTGGATTGACGTCACTAGTTGGTGGTGTTGATGGAACTTCTGCAGAGGAGTTGGCGATTAAGTTTTTGGTGAATTTGAGAATTTCTTCAGAAGGGGAGATGCTGGAAATGTAAATGAAGGCATGTTATTTAATGCAAATAACTCGTTGATGGTAGAGTTAAATGATCCAGGTACAGCCATGTTTTGCATATGAGCGTATAGTAGACAGTAGTGAATCTTCGTTACGTCACATGTTGGAGGAGTGATGGTAGTGGTGGTGGTGGAGGCGGGCTGAGTAGATGCTTGAAGTAATTTTGTAGTGTCTGCTTGTATTTTTGCAATTGCTGCATACGTTGGAGTGTTGCTAGTAGGTTTTTTCTTTGCTGCATCTTGTGTTTTCTTCATAATATCCTTTCTTGTAGGACATTTTGCTGCCAGTGTATGGTGATCATTACTCTTGCAGTTTAAGCACGCTGGTTGTGTTGGAGCAGCAGCGGTGCAGGAACTGAAGGCGTGTCCCTCACTACCACATGTAGTGCATAACTTCTTGTCTTTTACTGGACATGCTTTGGTGGTGTGATGGTATGAATAACAGTTCCAGCAATGTTGGATGTAGTGATATCTCTCTGCTTCAATGTAGGTAGGGCTGATGTAGTAGTAGTAGACAGCAAGACCTTCGTTCAGTGCAGTGGCAGCCATGTTCACGTCGGTGAAGGTGACCTTGATCATGGACTTTGCATTTGGGATTTTTGTAATGCTGTCAACAGTAGCCCAAGTATTTTGCGTCTCGATGGATGACTTGAGTTCAGCAGGTGTTTGAGACGTCAGAATCTTGTCCAGTTTTTTTAGGAATACTGATTTCCTTGCCCTGAGGGCAGGAGATGATGTAACAGTAAACCCTTGAGTAGTAAGAGTAGTGATGGCTTCTGTAGTGAGTAGCTTCTCTGCTTCAGCATCATCGTGACACACAACAATGAATGCTTCTTTCAGTGACAATATGGTGTTGAATTTTACTTCCAGTGCTCCCTCAACAACAGTTGCAAGAGCAATCTTCGTTGAATCATCAACGGTACCATTTCTTGGTTTGATCTTTACATGATTTGCGTAGCTCATCGTGTAAGTCAAGACGATGACAACGCTGGTAAAGGTTCCCCTCCCCAACGGGGATCGTAGGGAGACAGAGTAAGTAAGGAGAGCTGCTATGACCTGCCTGGGCGAGAGTCAAGAGCAGAATTGCTGGCTACACCTCATGGATGAGAAGAGACAGGCAAGGGCAAGGAGGAGGTGTTGCTGTGTGCTTCTCTAAAAGTGTTCATGCCCAGCACATTGATGTTGCCACCCCTACACATCTTGAAATGATGTTCTTCAAGCTCTGTATAAACACTAGTACCTCTGTACTAGCATGTGCAATGTACACACCTCAGTGGCAACATGCAGACCCCATCAACTTCCTAATGGAAAATATTGACTCCCTTCTGCTACAACACAACTGTCAACATATCATAATTGTTGGTGACCTCAACCAGCACCTTATACAGAGGGACTTTGATGACCTTCTTGCAGTGTTTGACATGAGAAACTTTGTTGATTTCCCTACTCATATCTCTGGCTCCTCCCTTGACCCAGTAGTGAGTGATCTGGCAGAAGGCATAGTCACTTGTCAACCCCTCGGCTACGTTGGATCGTCTGACCACAAGGCTGTTTTTACAAAACTTAAGATCCCAACAGAACGAGGTGAGGAGTCCACATGCACAACCTGGCTATGGGAAAGAGGTAATTGACCAGCCCTTTGCTCTGAGCTCGCCACCACCGATTGGAATGCTCTTCTCCAAGGGGATGTTGACAACCAAGTGAAAGCTTTCACTGGACACATCCTTAATCTACAACAAGAACACATTCCTCACCGGCAATATGTGACGAAGCCTACGGATCAGCCTTGGTTTGGCTTTCGTTGTAGAGAGGCTGCTACTGCTAAGTACAAAGCATGGTGAAGGTAAAAGAGACGTCCTACCACCTATAACAGCGTGAAACAAGCTTTTATGCCACAAGACGGGCAGAAAGCAGCAACTTCACTCTGGCTGTACCCATCTCCAGAACATCACTCCATCTGAGAACATATATACCCAGGATGACTCGAGTATGGAACACATTCATACAGCATAATGATGTCAATGAGATGAAGTCAGTTGATCAAATGAAAATGCTGGCCCACAGTTGGCTCCAATTTCATCCTGTTCCCTACTTGTATGTCTCATAACAATAAAAATGCTTTCAAATGAGCTGATGTAGGTAACTGCTCTTAGCTTGCCAATAAAGTTAGGAATCCTTAACCTGTAAATAGCTTGTCAATAAAGCTAGGGATCCTTAACCTTGTCAAACCCTGTGTAAAAAAAAAAAAAAAAAAAAAAAAAAAAAAAAGAGACAGAGAGACCTACCACAGACCTACATCCCACCAGCTGCCTCAGTACCCTACCTCTCTCAAGGGCAGGCACCTTACATGCCCTACACACCCTCCACCTCAAGCTGACCACATCATGAGGAGTCAGTCTATCAGCATCCTGTAGGCCAACATTAGAGGTTTCATTACTAATGTTGGAGAGCTCTCACACAGTTTTGTGAACACTCAACGTCCCGACATGATAGCTGTTGTTGAAACATTTTTGGATGACAGGACTCCAGAAAATTTTGCAAGAATTGCTGGCTACACCTCTTGGATGAGAAGAGATAGGCAAGGGCAAGGAGGAGGTGTTGCTGTGTGCTTCTCTAAAAGTGTTCATGCCCAGCACATTGATGTTGCCACCCCTACACATCTTGAAATGATGTTCTTCAAGCTCTGTATAAACACTAGTACCTCTGTACTAGCATGTGCAATGTACAGACCTCAGTGGCAGCATGCAGACCCCATCAACTTCCTAATGGAAAATACTGACTCCCTTCTGCTACAACACAACTGTCAACATATCATAATTGTTGGTGACCTCAACCAACACCTTATACAAAGGTACTTTGATGACCTTCTTGCAGTATTTGACATGAGAAACTTTGTTGATTTCCCTACTCACATCTCTGACTCCTCCCTTGACCCAGTAGTGAGTGATCTGGCAGAAGGCCTAGTCCCTTGTCAACCCCTCGGCTACGTTGGATCGTCTGACCACAAGGCTGTATTTATGACACTTAAGATCCCAACAGAACGAGGTGAGGAGTCCACACGCAAAACCTGGTTATGGGAAAGAGGTAATTGACCAGCCCTTTGCTCTGAGCTCACCACCACCGGCTGGAATGCTCTTCTCCAAGGGGTCGTTGACAACCAAGTGAAAGCCTTCACTGGACACATCCTTAATCTACAACAAGAACACATTTCTCACCGGCAATATGTGACAAAGCCTACAGATCAGCCTTGGTTTGGCTTTCGTTGTAGAGAGGCTGCTACTGCAGCCTCTCTACAACGAAAAAATAATTTTTTTTTCCCAAAAATTTTTCGACATAGAATGACAGTTTCAGAAATGAGCTTGCGACAGTCAAAGGGTTAACCTATCGTCGTAGGACATTTCCGTTAGCTCTGGAACTAACCTTGTTGCAAACCTTTGCACTTTCTCTGATTTCTTGACTTGCTTGATGAAGTGTGGGTTCCAAACAGGTGCTGCACACTCTAGTATGGGCCTGACGTACATGGTGTACAGTGTCTTGAACGATTCCTTACTAAGGAATCGGAACGCTATTCTCAGGTTTGCCAGGCACCCATATGCTGCAGCAGTTATCTGGTTGATGTGCTTCCGGAGACGTGCTCGGTGTTATGGTCACCCGAAGATCTTTCTCCTAGAGCAAGGTTTGCAGTCTTTAGCCACCTAGCCTATACTCCATCTGCGGTCTTCTTTGCTCTTCCCCGATCTTCATGACTTTGCATTTGGTGGGCTTAAATTCAAGAAGCCAGTTGCTGGACCAGGTGTCCAGCCTGTCCAGGTCTCTTTGAAGACCTACCTGATCCTCATCTGATTTAATTCTCCTCATTATCTTCACATCATCTGCGAACAGGGACACTTCTAAGTCTAACCTTTCCATCATGTTATTCACATATACGAGAAATAGCATTGGTTCTAAGACCGACCCCTGTGTGACCCAGTTCGTCACAGGTGCCCACTGTGATACCTCATCATATACCATGACTCGTTGTTGCCTCCCTGTCATGCATTCTCTGATCCACTGCAGTGCCCTTCCTGTTATACGCGCCTGATCCTCTAGCTTCTGCACCAATCTCCTGTGAGGAACTGTGTCGAAGGCCTTCTTGCAGTCCAAGAAGATGCAATCAAATCACCCCTCTCTATCGTCTTACTTCAGTTACTTTATCATAAAACTCAAGTAGGTTTGTGACACAGGATTTGCCTTCCATAAACCCGTGCTGGTTGGCGTTTGTACTCTTGTTCCATTCCAGGTGCTCCACCACTCTCCTCCTGATAATCTTCTCCATGACTTTGCATATTATACACATCAGTGACACTGGTCTTCAGTTTAGTGCCTCTTTTCTGTCTCCTTTTTTAAATATGGGTACTACATTTGCCATCTTCCATACCTCAGGTAGTTGCCCAGTTTCAAGGGATGTGTTGAAGATTGTGGTTAATGGTATACACAGCATTTCTGCTCCATCTCTAAGGACCCACAGGGAGATGTTGTCTGGTCCCATTGCCTTTGAGGTATCAAGGTCCTTTAGCAGATTCTTCACCTCCTCCTCAGTTGTATGTCGTCTAACACTTGTCTGTATATTCCTTGTTGGCATCCCCCCTCTCTTCTGTCCACCCAGAGGCCTTCCTGTCTCCACACTGTAAATACTTCCTTAAATCTCTTGTTGAGCTCCTCATATACCTCTTGATCGCTTCTGGTGAGTTACCCACCTTCTTTCCTCAGCCTGATCACCTGGTTTTTGACTGTTGTCTTCCTCCTAATGTGGCTATACAGCAGTTTCAGGTCAAACTTGGCTTTCGATGCTATGTCATTTTCGTACTGTCGCCGAGCCTCCTTCCTTACCTGTGCATGCTCATTTCTGGCTCTTCGACTAGTCCCTATTTTCCTGGGTCCTTAGCCTCCTGTACCTTTTCCATTCTCTGGTGCACTTAGTTTCTGCCTCCCTACACCTTTGGGTAAACCAAGGACTCACTCACTCACTCACTCACTGCACACACACACACACACACACACTCACTCTTTCTGTGTGTGTGTGTGTGTGTGTGTGTGTGTGTGTGTGTGTGTGTGTGTGTGTGTGTGTGTGTGTGTGTGTGTGTGTGTGTGTGTGTGTGTGTGTGTGTGTGTGTGTACTCACCTAGTTGACGTTGCAGGGGTCGAGTCCAAGCTCCCGTGTGTGTGTGCGCGCATGTGCATGTGCGTACGTGTACACGTGTGCGTGTGTGCACGTGTGTGCGTGTGTGAGCATGTGTGTGTGCACGTATACACACCTCAAAAACCCTGCTACCTTTATATACTATTTCAGACTTAATCTAAGTTGAGTAACAAATGACTGGTAATAAAGACCATAGTGGCCCTAAGCTATTTCCTTCATTATAACAAAGGATTTAATTCACAAGAGACATCTAAATATATGTGACAAAATATAAATTTAAATGATACCAACCTCTTCCTCCTCTTTCTTTCTCTCCTCCTCCTCTTTCCTTTTACGTTCTTCCTCTTTTTTCCTCTCTTCCTCTTCCTTTTTCTTTACTTCATCAGTTTCAGTATTTTCTGCACTTGCTGCCTTTTCAGATTCCTCTTTTTCCTGTTCATTCTTCAAGATCTAGAAGATGACAGAGAGTATGTAAATAAAACAAACCATACCATGGGCGGGGATAGAACCCGCGATCAGTGTCATAATAATCAAGACCTCTTACATCTTTATACTATACATGAGACATTCAATCCAAAACTTCAAAATTTCATTCTTTTTTGTTTGAGAAATTTATACATGAAGGGTTACCAGCCTCTTGCTCCCAGTATTTAAGTCATTTACAAAATTAACTGCTTGTGAGGAAGCATTCTGTTCCACTTTACATTGGGGATGAAGGGAAACACTATAAGGACAAGAACTATTGAGGACTTAGTGTGAATGTATATGTATGTGTGCACATACATATACATGTACACTTACATGCATAGTATTAATTAGATGTAAATAGCAATAGCAAGATGTACCTCTCATTTTACATGTTTATGTTATATTTGTTCAATATGTGCAGAGTACCTGGGAACTGGCAGAGTATGCACAGTTCCTTTACACAAGGTACAAGGGGATAAAAGATAGAAAGAATTACAGTGAACCCTCTGTTTTCGTTACCCTCTGATTTCGTGATTTTCGGTTATCGCCGACTTTTTACGTCAAAATATTGTCTCTGTTTTCATTAATACCCTCTGGTTTCGTCGGCCATACAGAACATGTCCGAGTGCCCGCGAGTACACAAAGCCTCCCACACACGCATTCTGAGTCAGTGAGGCATTGTTTCTCGGCAAGTGAACATCACCTTGAGAGGTCATATGAAACATTTTGTAACAATCCATTGTTTTCTGGTGCTTGTTTATTGTGTGTGACTGCTAAATAATCACCATGGGCCCAAAGAAAGCTCCTAGTGCCAGCCCTTTGATAAAGAAGGCGAGAAACACAATAGAATTCAAGAAAGAACACACCAGCCAGGGAGCTATCCCACACCAGACTGGGTACTTCCCACACACACCAGCCAGGGTACTTCCCCACACACACACCAGCCAGTGTACTTCCCCACACACACCAGCTAGGGTACTTCCCCACACACCAGACAGGGTACTACCCCATACACACCAGCCAGGGCACTTCCTCACACACACCAGCCAGGGCACTTCCCCACACACCAGCCTGGGTACTTCCCTACACACACCTGATAACCCTATGCCTGTTGTGGAATCTATTGTGGCTTTGGGGAAGTCCATGAGGTTGGATGTGAGTGGCCAGGATTTGGAAGAGATGGTGGACGACCAGTGAAGAGCTGCAAGACCTTCATCTGTAACAGCAACAGACCACAGCTGAGGAAATTGCTTCAGAGGAGGAGGAATAGAGAGAGAAGAAGGTGCCTTCTTTAGTGATTAAGGACATCTGTGTAAAGTGGAGTGAGGCGCAAATGTTTGTGGAGGAACATCACCCTCACAAAGCTGTTGCAGGTCGTGTCTGCAACATGTTCAGTAACAATGCCTTGTCCCATTTTAAGCAAATCTTAGAGAGACACCAGAAGCAGAGCACTCTGGAAAAATTTTTTGTGTGACAGGGGTCCAGTGACTCTCAAGCTGGTCCTAGTGCCAGTAAAAAACACAGAAGGGAAATAACCCCAGGTAAGGAATTGGTACCTGAAGTCATTATGGAAGGGGATTCCCCTTCCAAACAATAGTATCTTTTCCTTCCTCTCCCCTCCTCCATGTCTTCCATACACCAACAAGAGTCTTCAATAAAGGTAAGTGTGATGTTAAATGTTCATTTATACATTTTATTAGCGCTTTATATTTATTTGTCATTGTTTTCTGTATGTAAATCTATATTTAATCTCTAAAAAATGTACTTGTTGTTAATACTTTTGGGTGTCTGGAACGGATTAATTTGATTTACATTATTTCTTAAGGGGAAAATTATTTCGCTTTTCGTGATTGTCGGGTTTCGACACTCTCTGTAACGAATTAATCATGAAAACAGAGGGTCCACTGTATAGGAAACTAGGTCTGTAGGAAAATGGCAACAGCAAGTAAGAGAGAGGTGACAGTTTATAAACTAAGGGAGGAGGAAGTTAGGGTGAGATATAAGCAACTATTGGCAGAAAGGTGGGCTAGTGCAAGTATAAGTAGTGGGGGGGATGGGGAAGCGTGATAGTTTTAAAAATGCAGTGTTAGAATGTGGGGAAGAAGTTTGTGGCTATAGGAGAGTGGGTGCAGGACGAAAGAGAAGCAACTGGTGGAATGATGAGGTAAAGGGCATGATAAAAGAGAAAAACGTCGCTTATGAGAGGTTTTTACGAAGAAGTGATATAAGAAAGGCGGAGTATATGGAAAATATAACAAAGGTGAAGAGAGTGGTGAGAGATCATCTTTAAGGAGTGAAGAGGAGCTGGACGTGAAAGTGGGGAAGGTGCATCAGGCATTATGTAGAATGAAAGGGGGTAAAGCAGGTGGAACTGACGGGATCATGACAGACATTAAAAGCAGGGGAGAGATAAATTGTTGGAGTGGTTGGTATTTTTGTTCAATAAATGTATGAAAAAGAAGAAGGTACCCAGGGATTGGCAGTGTGTGTGTGTATAGTTCCTTCATATAAAGGGAAGGGGAACAAGTGTAAAAATTATAGGGGAGAGGGGAGGGATTAAATAATGGGGAATCAAACACAAAATGGAAGTAGACACAGTTACTTTTTGGTGATGATACTGTGCTTATGGGAGATTCTAAAGAAAAGTTATAAAGGTTAGTGGATGAGTTTGGGTATGTAAAGGTAGAAAGTTGAAAGTGAATATAGATAAGAGTAAGGTGATGAGGGTATCAAACGATTTAGAAAAATTGGATATCACATTGGAGAGAGGGAATATGAAAGAAGTAAATGTTTTCAGATATTTGGGAGTTGACCTGTCACCAGATGGGTTTATGAACGATGAGGTTAACCATAAAATTGATGAAGAAAAAAAGGTGAATGGTGCGTTGAGGTATGTGAGGAGACAAAAAACGTCATCCATCGAAGCAAAAAAGGGAATGTACGAAAGTAGTATAGTGGTACCAACACTCATATATGGGTGTGAAGCTTGGGATGCAAATGCTGCAGTGATGCGGCTGCTGGAGGCAGAGGACATGTCCTGCCTAAAGGCAATGCGTGATGTAAATATTATGCAGAGAATTCGTAGTGTGGAAATTAGGGGGAGGTGAGGAGTTACTAAAAGTACCTGCTTAGCTTGTGCTACTAGGTCAGTTGCTATGTTCCTTCCTTAAGTGAATGTGACCTGACTCGACTAGGTTGGGTGCATTTAAGCCGGTAGGAGACATGGACCTGCCTCGCATGGGCTAGTAGGCCTGCTGCAGTGTTCCTTCTTTCTTATGTTCTTGTTAGAGGGAAAAAGAGGGCTTGTTGAGGTGGTCAGGTCATTTATAGAGAAAATAAAACAAAGTAGAATGACTTGGAGAACGTACAAATCTGTAGGGAAAGGAAGGTAGGGTAGGGGTTCTCCTCGAAAATGTTGGAGGGAGGGGTTAAAGGAGGTTTTGTGTGCGAGGGGCTTGGATTTCCAGCAAGCATGCATGAGTGCGTTAGATAGGAATGAATGGAGACGAATGGTTTTTGGAACCAAACAAACTCTTGGAATGTGAGCAGGGTCATATTTTGAGAAGGGATTCAGGGAAACCAGTTAGTCGGACTTGAGTCCTGGAAATGGAAGGTACAATGCCTGCCCTTTAAAAACGAGGTTTGGGATATTGGCAATTTGGAGTGACTATTTAAACTGTCATATCTGGGTGCTTCTGCAAAGACAGTGATTATGTATGAGCGATGGTGAAAGTGTTGACTGATAATAAAAGTTTTTTCTTCCTTTTTGGGTTTTTCTTTCTTTTGGGTTACCCTGCCTTGGTGGGAGACAGACGACGTGTTAAAAAAAAAAGTTTACTATTACTAAATTTAAAAATGGAACTTTTGTTTTTCCTTTTAGGTCACCTGCCTCAGTGAGATACAGCTGCTTAAAAAAAAAAAAAAAAGAGTTTACTGAGTACACCAGGTAGTGTGTATGGTAGGGTTATTATTGAAAGAATTAGAGCTAAGACAGACAGCAGGATTGCAGATGAACAAGGCTTTAGAGTGGGTAGGGGATGTGAAGATCAAGTGTTTACACTGAAGCATATATGTGAACAACATTCAGATAAAAGTAGGGAAGTTTTAGTTGCATTTATGGATTTAGAAAAGGCATATAATAAGGTGGATAGGGGAGCATTGTGGTAGAAGTTGCAAGTGTATGGGAATAGGTAGCAAGTTACTAAATGCTGTAAAGAGTTTTTATGAGGATAGTGAGGCTCAGGTTAGGGTGTAAGAGAGAGGGAGACTACTTCCCAATAAAAGTAGGTCTTAGACAGGGATGTGTAATGTCACCATGGTTGTTTAACATATTTATTGATGGGGTTGTAAAAGAAGTAAATGCTAAGGTGTTGGAGAGGGGTGGGATTAAATTATGGGGAATCAAATACAAAATGGGAGTTGACAGTTACTTTTTGCTGATGATACTGGGCTTTTGGGAGATTCTAAAGAAAAGTTGCAAAGGTTAGTGATCGAGTTTGGGAAGGTGTGTAAAGGTAGAAAGTTGAAAGTCAACATAAATAAGTAAGGTGATGAGGGTGTCAAACGATTTAGATAAAGAAAAATTAGATATCACATTGGAGGGAGAGAGTATGGAAGAAGTGAATGTGTTCAGATATTTGGGAGTTGACTTTTCAGCAGATGGGTTTATGATGGATGAGGTTAATCATAGAACTGATGAGGGAAATAAGGTGAGTGGTGCTTTGAGGTATCTTATTTTATAATTCACATATTGGCCAATTTCCACCAAGGCAGGGTGGCCCAAAAAAGAAAAACTTTCATCATCATTCACTCTATCACTGTCTTGAGGTATCTGTGAAGACAAAACAATGTTATCCATGGATGCAAAGAAGGGAATGTATGAGAGTATAAATGGTACCAACACTCTTCTATGGGTATAAAGCATGGGTTGTAAATGTTGCAGCAAGGAGGAGGCTGGAGGCAGTGGAGATGTTGTGTCTAAG